GAGAGAGAGAGAGAGAGAGAGAGAGAGAGAGAGAGAGAGAGAGAGAGCCCTTCGGAAAAGAGATTGGAGTCACTGGACACAATTAGGACATGCACACCTGCACGCACACACATGCACTCGCAGTTTTGGGGTATGACATGGCCCCAACTTTTTTCCCTCTTGCAGTTTGATGTTTATAAGCGAGGGGCATGTTTGGCCACCTCACCCTGTCCTTTCGGTTGTTTTTTTGTTTTGTTTTTTTCTGTGATGTGCCGCATCACGTGCGCGCGCATGCATGCGCGTGTGCTCTGCACCTCACGTGCCGCGACACCGTGCACAGCATGCGCCGCAAGTATGACGTAAAGATATTAGACACACGAGGCAGAGGAGACACATCATATTCCTCTTTGTCTCTGTCATCAATCTTAAGACAAAATAAGGCAGCTATGACGAACACTTGTATAGACTGCAGAGAGGAGGTCAAAATTGAGAACTGTGGGGTATCGATCTCTCAGCCTACTTGAAGAAAAGAAGGGAAGGACAGGCGGGTTAGGCAGGATGTGGGGGTAGGGGGGGGGGGGGGCAGGGGGAGGAGAGGAGGCAAACAGATCATTCAAACAATAATACAATATCGATGCCTGGAATCCGGCAACAACAACGACAGCAAAAAAAGAAAATGGAGGTTGATCCCAGTGCTCAAGGCCAGAAATTGCCCCGGACTCCCAGGAATCCACCCACACCCATACGAATCTAATAGGTCACTGCCATGCCGTTACATCGAAAGCGATGCGGCCTTGGGAGGCTGGGAGACGGGGGCTCGTATTGCTGGAGCATGATCCCACCAGCAATTGGATAGAATAGAGAATGGTTTCTGTGGCAGTTGGACAGCCCGCATCTGCCATGCGATGACCTGTGATCCCACAGTCAGCTTAACTGAAAAACAAACTCCTCCTTAACACTGGTGATGCGGGTGCAAAGAGATCTTCCCACCGAAATCTGCTCTATCCCCTGGGCGAATGCCCAATCCTTTAAGATGATGGGTCGGGCATATGCCCAGGGGATCGAGCATCCTCAGGACTTCCACACTGTTGTGCAAAAAAGCTCATTGGTCCGATTACTCATTCAATTACGGAGTCCGTCCAACGCGATGGTCACCACTAACAAAAGTCTCTTTCCATTTTTGCATATGTGGCAGTTTGTTTCTTCACTGTTCTAGCGGCATCTAGCACCGGATTGTTTGTGATCTGACGGGTGGTAGCACCACTCCATTACTTCTGGGTGGAGCGCTGTTATCTATTTTTTTGGGGGGGCTCCCTTTCCCATATTTTCGATGTCCAAGAGTCATATTGTGCCTGTTATGCAGGTTCAGACATACACCAATCACACTGCTACCGTCTTCACTCAAATAGAACACAACCCAGTCGTATAGCTGTATTTCGTGCAACTTTCAGTCTAGCAACAGCGATAATGACTGGGCTTTCTATTTGGGTGAAGACAATGGAGGGACCACGCACGTGGTGATTTAGACTTTACAGCTGAAGGACAATATCTGCCAGATGGGTCCTCAGAAGGGGGGAATGGGGGGGGGACGCCAGCATTTACGGCCTGCGCTGGTAACTGACATGTCAGCATTTTGTTACGCTGACATCTGGCTTGTCAGACATCCAGGGCTGTTTTTCTTTGGGTGGGGGGAGGAATGTGAACCAATAGCCACTCTATAGAGCAGATAATGGGCCAGATTTCAGTACTTTGCTTTATTACAAAGTAAAGTAATAATGCGATAACCCATGCCATATGTCTCGTGGAAAGACTGAGGGCCAACTCGGTCGCCCTCAGCCCAGGCCGAAACGGGGGCAAAAAGGACCCCAACAAAGACTCAGGGCCTGGACGTGTGACAGTTGACTTTGGTCAACTGTCGTGACCCCAACAGTCAAAGTCCAAAGGTACCTAGCCCAGGCCACTGGTCAAGCACACACACTTGTTTGTATGCAGGTACCCAGACAGCATCAGGTCCAAGGGAGAAGTCTGCAACTGCACAATCTGGGCCCTCAGCTGTGAGTCAATCTGGACGACTGTGTGGGAAAGCACCCGAGGCCAGACAGCCTCGACAAATGCTACTTAAGGCTGGCCTCGAGTGAGTCAAGCATTCAGTCTTGCTATGCTGTTTTGACGGTGGCTTGACTTTGACTAGATGCTGGCATTATGCTGGCTCGACGCTGGCTATACGCTGGCTGTGCATTGGCGATGCGGACGACGGCACGAGGTGGAGGCAGCATGCTGGCGCTTTCTGCATTGTGCGCCAGGCTTGCTGAGGTGGCATGCTGATTGGGCGCTACCTCTGGTCTACATTGCATGCTGATGTGGCGCTACCTCTGGTCCACATTGCATGCTGATGTGGCGCTAACTCTGGTCTACATTGCTTGCTGATGTGGCGCTACCTCTGGTCTACATTGCATGCTGATGTGGTGCTACCTCTGGTATACATTGCATGTTGATGTGGCGCTACCTCTGGTCTACATTGCAAGCTGACGTCGCGCTACCACTGGTCTCCATTGCTGATGTGGCATATGCCACCTGTTTCAACTGTTGACGTGGCATTGTCCACGCTGTCTACATGAGGTGACTGGTTGCAAGGAGGAGGAAGATCGGGATCTGTGGATGAAGGATGTCGGGTATTCACCTGAGGTTGACGTCGTCACTGGAATCTGCTGTCTTCATGGTCTTCATGAGATAAAGTGCCACGTGGCACTATTGTGTGTGATCTGGAATATACTTATTATCATTGTTGACGTGGAGAAGGAAGAAGCCCGGAGAAGGAGAGGGATCTGAAGGGATTATTACTGTGTGATCTTTCATCTTCTCCTTTGTCTACTCCCCCTCCACTCTCTTCTTGTGATGGTAATGAGATACTGTTTGAGATATCACTTCACGATTTGGAGACTTTGATGCAGATAATGAGACTACTGATATTTGACGACTTCTGAGTATCTGCCAGACTGGGTTCATTACAAATAATAATAATAATAATAAATTATTATTATTATTAATATTATTAATATTATTAATATTATTAATAATAATAAACCGAAGTAATATGCAGCTATCAGTGAACGGACACAATGTGAGCACACACACAATGAGCACACATATATATTATATACCGCTCAACCTTCATCCACGTGGGCGGCCTTGTGCGCAAGAGGTTCTGAACAGGGGGAGTTGTAAGTAAGAAGATAAAAAATGAATTGATATCTTTTTTGTTTCCTTTTTTTTCGCTTTTGCGCTCTGATAACTTTCTGACAATATATATGTCGTGGGTAAGTGATAGTCTGCTTTGATTTTCGTCACAGGTACCATTGAGGGCAGTGGTTGGTGTCCACCCTGAAAGGGGGGCATCAGTTGTGGTGTAGCAGTCGTTGATACCGGGGTTAAGGTGAGTTAACACTTACAGTATCATTAGTTAGGGAGCTCTGACTGTAGAGGGTTCAGCCTCTGGACGAGTCGGCAAAACTCGCAACGAATCAGTCTGTCACAGTCCCTTGTTTGTTGTCCTTTTCTCCCTCTTCCTATAGTTCTCTATGACGATATATATTTGTTACAGCCCCTCGTTTGTTGTCCTCTTCTCCCTCTCTGCCTACGGTTTACCGGGCAGCTCTGTTTGACGATATATGCATACAAATAATAATACAATATAATCATAATAATAATGTAATACAAATAATATAATAACATAATCAGCAGATGGAGCCCCGCCGCTCACTGCTCAAATAAATAAACAAAAATTAACAAAAACGAAATCCATTACCCAAACATGACTCTGACGGCATCTGACCTTATCATACACGTTCTCTCCTCTGCCGTCATCATCGTCAAGGTCCGTAGTCCTTAGCAGCTGCTCTCTTCGAGATTGCAACGCTGGCCCTGAGTATAAACCTTTGCCACAGAACAAGCACTCAAACGAGGTAGCTGATTTCCAGGCCTCTGCACTGCCCTCATCCAAGATTCCCCCCCCAATTTTCTTGCTCCTGTTTCTGTTCCTGGTCCTGTTCCTGGTCCTGGTCCTTCGCTCCTTGCTGCTAACTCCTGCGAACTGCTGTCGCCATGCACCAAGAACAGGGTCAGCTTCTAGATGTACCTCACACTTCTCAGAGACAGCGATCGGAGAATGCCGTCTTGTCATTGCGGGAACACAATCATCGGGACCTCTTCGCCTCCCTAGCTGATGTGTCCCCGGTCTCTCTCCCTTTTGCTGACATATCCCTCCTCCGTCTCCCTCTTGCTGACATGTTTGCCCGTTTTCTGCGTCTTGCTCATGTGCCTCTCCTGTGTCTTCCTTTTGCTGATGCATCCGTCTTCTTACTCCTTCTCGCCGATTTGCCCCTCCCCTTTGTCCCTCTTGACATGATCTCCCAAGGAAAAAGCTGTCTTGCATGCCATCAACTGCACAGCCTTCTCCTCCTTCCTCCTCTGGACTTTCTTTAGCCTCCTCCCCTGGACTTTCTTTGCCCTCCTCCTCCTCCTCCTCCCCCTTCTCCTGCTCCTCCCCCCCCTTCTGCTCCTCCTCCTCCTCCCCCCCCTTCTTCTCCTTCTCCCGCTTCTTTTCCTCCTCCCACTGTTTCTTCTCCTCCATCTCCCCATGTTGAACTGAATCTGAACGATTTGCTTCCCTCCTTGAGGTCGCTAGTTGATGGCTATCTCCTCCTCCTTTTTGACTCTGTTCCTGCTGCCTCCCACCACCTCTCTCTCTCTCTTGGCATGACCCTAGAGAGAGAGAGTGGCTGCCGGCAGGACCCATGGGACTGGAACTTGTGCAATCTTTGACTTCTTGCAATCTATATTTATCAGACATCAAGCTTGTTATGTTCACGCCATCAAAGCCAGCTCTAAAAGGCATGTGCTTGTCATCATCATCATCATCATCATCATTGACGCCACGACTGCCACCACCCCTACTGTTCGTCTCCATGCCACCTTGACCAACTGATTCAGAATCGGACAAAGGCACCTTCTGCTGGTGATCACAGTCCTCGAAAAACTTATTGGTACAAGAGATGGCATGCATGTCGTCTTTCTGCCAATCCGCGGACTCAAAGATTTCCAAACCATAGGAGTTTTGCTCTTCTTCCGCCTTATGTTCGCGTTCAGCATCTCGGGAATGGCTTCCAGCATGATTTCCAGAAGTTGTTTCAAGATTCCCAGGACGATTTTCAGGATGATTCCCAACCGTGTCAAGATTCCCAGGACCAAGATTCCCAGGAAGATTCCCAGGATGGTTCCCACAAGGATTCTCGGTAGTTTCAAGATTCCCAAAATCATTCCTAGGATGATTCCCAGTGGGTTCAAGATTCCCAGGATTATTCCCAGTAGTCCCAAGATTCCCACGAAGATTCCCAGGATGGTTCCCAGAAGGATTCTCAGTAGTTTCAACATTCCCAGGATGATTCCTAGGATGATTCCGAGGATGATTCCCGGAATGATTCCCAGGATGGTGACCTGTAGTTTCCGGTTCCTCAGGATGATTCCCAGGATGATGCTGAACACTGGACTGCAAAGCTGACTCCACGATGCCAATTGGGCGATCGCAATCACCCAATTTTCCACAGACGTTCGGCAAGGAGGCATTCCCCCCCCCGCTTTCCTCTAGAGCACGGGTCCAATGGTCAGGTTGGGAAAGAGCGCCATTCAGGGAAGGAGGAGGCCTGGCGGAGAACAATGTGCCATCTGCAACAAACAGGCGAACATTTTCGCCGCACCCGTACTTTCTGAGCATTGTGCGGCATGCTGCAAGACGCATCCTCGAGATATCCACCCCCGTCACGCTCCCTCTGCCACGCAACAGATCAGAAATCATGCAGAGCTTACCGCCTGCCAACCAGAAATGACGATTTCCAAGAACAGATGACGACGTACCTCAGTTGTGGCAGAACTGATTGTACAGGATCGGAAATTCAGAATGGTAAAAAAGGAGAGTTTGCCCATAGGCTTGCTTGTTCAGGAGTNAAAAAAAAAGGGAAGGAACAGATTGAGGACTGTTCTTTCAACATCGTCGTTCAGGATGGACGGGGAGCCGTGAGCTGATGGCGAGACTGGGAAGGATATGAAAACGGCAGCAATATCCAATCCCTGTTGTTTGTGTGAGAATTTGTAAGCTCTCGAGAGAGCTTACCAATCGAGAAGAAGAAGAAGAAGAGGGGCAAAAAAATATAGAAAGGTCAAAGCAAGATACTTGGTCACATAGCCTGCCATAAGAAATGAGACACCACACAAGAGTGGAGTAGCAAGCTTTTCATTATAATGAAATTGACACTGTTTTTAATTCAGTTTCACTTAATGTGATGAAACAGGGGCATTTCATTGCAGGGTGTGTGACCAGGGATTTCTAATTGGAGGCTCATTCAGATGCCACAGACAGGAGGAGAGAGGAGGAGGAGACAAGCTGCTGGTGGTTTAACATTACTCGTCAAGGAACCCTAGCTCTTCGGTGGATACCCACCGAACGAGGAGAGAGGAGGAGGAGGAGAAGACAAGCATCCGGGCCCCTTTTCATCAAGGCGGATCCTTGAAGGCGACTTGTGGAGAAGACGTTTGCCAAAAAAAAAATACATGAGTCCATCCCTGGGGCAGAATTACACAAAAGCTTCTTGTCATCCAAGGCCCGCACACTCTCATTGTGTGACTGGGCTGTCGAGTCTCATACTTCATGCTTAGCTGCGATCGGGACCTGGGGAGGAGTTCGCTCACAACACTTTTTTTTTTTTTTTTTTTTTTTTTTTTTTTTTTTTTTTTTTTTTTTTTTTTTTTTTTTTTTTTTTTTTCGCTCACAACACTTGAGGCTCTTAAAAAATCCAGGGCCGAGCTGGGATCGGGATAGTTGGGATCCGAGATCTGAGATCGAACGGACCTGGAGCAGCACAAAGATCCAGGACATGATCTCCTGGCTGTGGGTCGAGCGCCATCACCGCAGCCCCAGATGCAGCGTCAATACCATATATCTGTCACCAACAAAAAACCGAGTTCCCAGAACAACGAGGTCATAAGACTCGGAACAAAGGTCTCACCTCTTCTTTTTTTTTTTAATTCTTTTTTTTTTTTCAAATGACCCTGTAGTCTGTCAATCAAACAAAAGAGCGYTCTTGCGCCTTCGGCCTTCCATACTTAGGAAGCGATTTGGTTATTATTTGGAAGTCTTTAATTTAATTTAAATTCAATAGATTCCGCGAATGTATTTGGCCACGGATTAGATATTAAACTGATCAGAACAGATACTTAGCCAAAACGCCAAGGAAGGTACAGTCGCACATTTTCACTTCTGTCAAGTTCTGTGGACAAAACTTTACAGGGATATAATTTGCGAAATACCCCCATAAGTTGAGATATATGTCAAAATGCCCCTGAAAGGTGTGGGTGCAAAAATGATGAATGACGAAGTACAGACTGCCTACAAAAAGTTGGCAAGTACTGGGGCATTTCCTGAAGTTGGACGGTACCCGGTAGAGGTATATTGCAAAGATGGGGGTTCAACCGACACCAGGGGTATTTCACAAAATAATAAAAATATTATTTTGTCAGAGCGGCATTCCGCTCTCTACCCACATCTTTCAGGGACATTTTGGCATATATCTCAACATATGGGGGTATTTTGCAAATTATCCCAACTTTAAAAAATAATAAATAATGTCATATATAGATACAGTCTCATATATATAAATATAGATATATCATATATACATATATATTTTTTAATCGGATTTGAAAAAGCACATTCCAACCCCACAACCCAAGATGAAAACCACTGTTGCCGAGTGGTGGTGGCCGAAATGCATCGGGGCTTGGGGGAGATTCTTGCTTCAATCAAGTTCAATGCGTTTGTGCTGATTCTTCTTCGTCCTTCTCTTCCAACATTGTCAATGTCATAGCCATAGCCAAGCCATTGTCAACGCATAGCTCCTGGCTATGGTCTTTTCCAACACGGGCGAAACGCATCGGGCGCTCTTTTCAACACTTGGCTATGGCTATGGCTATGGCTATGTTACTTCCCAACATCCTCGTCGTGTTCAACTTTCCCAACTAAGAACAAACAGACGAGGGAAATGGGGAATGGAACTTTCTAGGGACCAATATGAATGGAACTTTCTAGGGACCAATATGAATGGAACTTTCTAGGGATCAATATGAATGGAACTTTCTAGGGACCCCAATATGAATGGAACTTTCTAGGGACCCCAGTATGAGGGTGGAGGCGCGGAGAAAAGTGACAACCCAGCTAGTCCAGAGAAATTTTCAAGATGTATGGGCTAGTAAGGAACTCAGCTTCCGGACTATCCAGGACTCCGACTCATTTTTTCGGCGATACCACAAAAGCAGGCAGTAATTAGTAATTACATGTTGCCTGTGTAGGATCTACCAAATGACCTCGGATCTGGAACTGGTAGGCCTGGGACTTCTCACCTTGAAGAGACTGCTAAGACTGCAAAAATACCCTGGGAAACATTTCAGCGACTGCCTGGGAAAATTCATAAGGAAACGAGCGCCATCATGGGAAAAATGGGGTGCGAAGTACAGCGGGTGGTAATATAACGGACAAAAGAAGAAAGATATACACGTTACAGATAGAAAGAGGTTTTCTGGTATTTTTAATAAATTTGGTTTTCAGGTATTTTTAATCAAATTGGTTTTCAGGTATTTTTAATCAAATTGGTTTTCAGGTACTTCAAATAAAATTGGTTTTCAGCTAGGCTACCAGAGTGGCCCGGGGTCACTTGCACGGCCGGGCCAAAACAAATTAAAATATATATAACAAGTAAATCTTACAAGGCCGTATTCCCCAATTAAGATTCAGAAGTTCGCGTTAGCGCCTTCTCTTCGATCCTTTGATAGGGTCGAGTCCCACGGGTAATGGAAAGTGGAAAAGAGTTGTCACAGCCCCTCGTTTGTTGTCCTCTTCTCTCTCTCTGCCTACGGTTTACCGGGCAGTTCTGTTTGTGACGATATATGCTACGACTTCGCTAGCTTCCTGCTACGTTTTTTTACGGTCAGGTCGAGCGGCAGTGGTCAGGGCCGTTACTAGGCGGCCATGCTGTGCCTCTAGTGCCAGCGGCGTGTCTGGAGTGTATTTTTTGGCTGTGA